TATTTCTTTAATCCATGGACATTTTTTTTAAAGAGACGAGTCACATCTAAGAAAGATATGTAAGACAATCATATTTTGAAGAAAGAGATGAAATTGTTAAATTTTAAAAAAAAAATGCTAATTTTCAAATTTCAATTAATTGCAATTAAGATAAAGATAAACCCAATCAAAATCAATTATACAATATTAAAAATCATGCATTTGCCGCTATAGCTGAGAAATCCTGTTGATTGCATGTTCATTTAATTAACTGCCATTGTTTTGCACCGTCGAACGCTATTTCAAATCAATGGAATTAATACAGGGTCATAATCCGGCAAAAGACCATTTAATTGAGGTGGGGGGGGGGTGTCCAAAGCTTTTTATTTTTATTTAGTTTCATTCGTATTGTTTACAATGGAAACTGAATGTCAATGTAGACAAAACAAAAATTATGATTTTTTCGAAAGGTCCATCTGTAAAAAATGTATTCTACTACAATAATTCTGTTATTGAAATTGTGAATGAATTTAAATACCTAGGTATACTATTTTCCCGATCCGGTTCATTTTGTAAGGCTAAAAAACATTTATGTGAGCAAGCTCAAAAAGCCATGTATGGTGCTATACGAAAAATTAGACAATTTAATTTACCAGTAGATTGCCAGCTTGATTTGTTCGATAAAGTTGTCACACCAGTACTTTTGTATGGATGTGAGATTTGGGGTTTTGAGAACATTGAAATAATTGAACGCGTCCATCTCAAGTTTTTGAAATATATTTTTAATCTGAAAAGTAGTACTCCTAGTTATATGGTTTATGGCGAAACGGGTCGATTCCCTTTGTATATAACGGTGTACATGTATATAAGAATGATATCACATTGGGCAAAATTACTGGTAAGCCCTGAAAATAAGATTGTTTATGTTACATATAAGAATTTATTTGAACAGTTTTGTTCAGGAAGTCATAAGAACCCTTGGATTTTATGTATTAAGAATATACTTGATACTTGTGGCTTCTCAAATATATGGAATGAACAGGCCTTTTTAAATATAAAATGGCTAAAAATTATAGTTGAACAACGTCTTAAAGATCAGTACATACAGAAATGGCAAAGTGATATGCGCGATTCGTCTAAAGGTCATATGTATAGTATCTTCAAAACAGAATTTGGATTTGAAAAATATTTAGACTTTCTACCTAAAAAATTTAGAGCAATTTTAATTAAATTAAGAACAGCAAATCATCATCTCCCAGTTGAGAATGGGAGATGGTTTGGAATTCCCAAAAATGATAGACTCTGTAATATCTGTAATAATGGACAAATAGCTGATGAGTATCACTATATTTTAGAATGTCAATTTTTCTCAGAATGCAGAAAAAAGTATCTACCTGGTAAATATTGTAATAGACCAAATTTCTACAAATTCTCAGAATTGTTGTCAACTGCTGACTCCAAGGTATTAATCAAACTATGCAGCTACATAGATAGGGTATATGAACAAGTCTGTCCTCCATAATTATTATTATTATTATTTTTTTTTTTTTGGTTACTTTATAATTTGAATGTATTTCCGCCATTTCACGTGTATCTTGTATATTGTTTTTGTATATATTGTACATAGAACCTCATGTACCATTAATTGGTTTGAGTGAATAAATTGAACTTGAACTTGCACCGTCGAACGCTATTTCAAATCAATGGAATTAATACAGGGTCATAATCCGGCAAAAGACCATTTAATTGAGGTGGGGGGGGGTGTCCAAAGTTTTTTATTTCCATTTTTTATTTGCTAATTCAATTCAGTTTATTCTCACATTGTATAAAACAACATAGAGAAAATAGAACAACGATATCAAACAAAATACATGATGCAAGAGTGTACAGTTTACATTAACCTGGAAGGGTAACTCTCTTATTAATTATATTGATAAATTTACAAAGGTTATTGATGACAGATACCTTTTTACATGAAAATAAATTTAAAAACTTAAAAGCGCTTGGTCGACTTATATATGTTGAAGGTAAATACAATTTTCCACAGTCATTAAAAGCAGCACGTGACATAATATAATGGTATTCGTCTCCAGTATCATTATTACATAAAGTACAAAATCTTTGATTTGAAGGTATATTGCTCCATCGGCCTGTCTCGATTGGTAATTTATGATTACTAGTTCTAAATCTTGCTAATGTAGTTATAATATTCATTGACACATTCATGTTTAAATAGTTTCTAGTTTTAAAAATACTATTAGTGAACAAATTGTAAATTTTGCCTTTACCAGATGTATTACAATCTGAATTCCAGTTTTGTTTGAATTGATCAATCAGCGTTTGCTTAATTACAATCAACAAGAACACCACATTACAGATGCAAGTAAAAATAATTCGAAACTGTACTGGAAATTATTGAGAGATATATTTAAAGTTAAATCAACTACAGACATCCCCCCCTCTACAGTATACTTCTATTAATGGTGATGCATCTATTGCTTTTTCAAATGAAGAGAAAATAGATGTTCTAAATGATTATTTTGCTTCTATTACTTGTATTGATGATAGCGACGCTGTGTTACCGGATTTTTTTTCTGCTTGCAATAGCACATTTGATAACATCTGTATTTGTGAACAAGAAATCATAGATATTATTTCAATTCTACCTGTAAATAAAGCAATAGGCCCAGACAATATTAGTCACAAGATGTTGAAATCCACAATGTATACTATTGTAAAACCGTTATGTTTATTGTTTAACAGGTCATTAGTTGATTGTATTTTTCCTTGTAAATGGAAAGTTGCTAATGTTCTCCCTTTATTTAAGAAAGACGATCCTTCTATTATGTCTAATTATAGACCTGTGTCATTGCTAAGTTGTATTGGTAAAGTAATGGAACGAATCATATTTAAACACTTGTATAATCACTTTCATGATAACAAACTTTTTTATAAATACCAAGCTGGATTTCTACCAGGTCACTCCACTGTATATCAATTAATTGAAACATATGATACTATTGTTAAAGCTATTGACAACGGTGAACATTGTTGCATGATATTTTGTGATCTTTCTAAAGCTTTTGATCGTGTATGGCATAAGGGTCTCTTGTTTAAACTCAGAACTTATGGTATAGAAGGAAATTTGTTTCAATGGTTAAAGAGTTACATAGAGGGTAGATCACAACGAGTTTTATACAGAAACTTATTATCTGACAAAAAACCTTTATATGCGGGTGTCCCTCAAGGCTCAGTGTTAGGACCTCTATTACTTCTTATATATGTAAATGATGTTGCTGAAGAAATGACAAGTTTTTGTAGACTATTTGCAGATGATAACTCCCTTCAGCAGTCATCTAAAAATGTCAATACTATCGAAAACAAACTGAATTATGATCTTAACAAGCTAGAAATTTGGTCGAAAAAATGGCTTCTTAAATTTAACTCTTCTAAAACTAAAGCAATATTTTTCAACTTGAGAGGAAGTGTTAATTATCCTAAACTCTTCTTCCAGCAAAATCAGCTAGAATTTGTCTCTTCGCATAAACATTTAGGGATTTTTTTCTCACATGATCTTAGTTGGTCTACACATATTGATACTATTCTAACTAATGCGTATAAAAAAAAATGGGCTTATTAAAAAAACTTAAATTTGTAGTAAATCGGAAAACTCTTTCACTCATGTACACAACCTTTATTAGGCCACAATTAGAATATGCTTCACTGGTGTGGGGTGGGTGTAATGTAGGTGATAGCGAAAAATTAGAAAAATTACAATTATGTGCTGCTAGAATTGTCACAGGCTTAACTCTGTTAGCTTCTAAAGATGCACTTTACTTTGAAACTGGATGGGAACCATTACATGAAAGAAGGAAAAATACTAGATTAACTACAATGTACAAAATTTATAATAATCAAGTTCCTGAGTATCTGACTGATATAATCCCAAATTTGCGTTGTAATTCATCAAGTTACAGTACGAGAAATTCACATAACTATAACATACCCAAATGCAGATTACAAACCTACAAGTCAACTTTCATTCCCCTTGTTATTGATGAATGGAACTCATTACCTCTTGTTGTAAGAAATTCTTCCTCATTATCTATTTTTAAAAAGTCTATTTCTTATAATAAAACTATGCCACCCTCTTACTTCAGTTACGGAAATCGACGCTTAAATATATTACATACAAGGCTTCGACACAACTGTGTACTTAAAAGCGATCTTTTTCGATGTAATATAATCTCGAGTCCCTTATGTTCCTGTGGAAGAGTAGAGGACACCTATCATTATTTCTTCTCGTGCAAAAAATATACAGAAGCCAGAAAAGAATTTTTCGATAAATTTCTGCGAATGGGAAAATTACATACTGTCGATACTCATACATTACTCTGGGGAGATGAAAAGTTAAACAATGTTGAAAATGAATACTTATTTTCTATTGTACAAACATTTATTAAAAAGTCAGGTCGTTTTGGTTGATGCAATAATTACTTCTTGCAAATTCTATACAGCTTGTATATTGTATAATGTTTCTCTGATTATTATGCTTTCCTGTGTTTTATTCATTTTAAGCTGAAACCCATATATGTAAATATGTTTTGGTATAATTCATATGTAGGGAGAGGGCGTATTAAGTTTTAAGAACTTTGCCCAATCCCAGTTGTAAAGTTTATAGACAATAAAATATGTTCAAACCAAACCACTGTTCTAATGGTGACGGAGTTTGGGTAGTAGGGGATAAAATATATATATATATATATATATATATATATATATATATATATATATATATATATATATATATATATATATTATAAACACAGCTTTTCCTGGACTTCGGTTGTGTCCACCGAACCATTCTCCAAATTTATTTTTTCGGATCGGCAAACCTCGGCTAATACTATTGCGTACCATTTTGTGTGGTCGGATAAATTTCTCAAACATCTGTTGATTGGCTGATTTTATTTCGTTTATCCAATGGTATAGGATCTTACATTGTCACGAAAGTGAAAGTAAAAAAATTATCAATAATTTACACGTAAACTTCCTGCAAAGTTTTATTTGAGAAGATTGAACAAAAAATGCAGGGCATGTACAGTACAAGAAGTCCAGGTAATTTTCCTTAACGAAAGCTTCTGTTTTTCTCATTTTTGTGCTGAAATGAAGAGCTGTCACTAAGCTTAATCTCGGCGAACATAAAATGGTTGGACTGACGCCGAATCTCTGCCAAGATTATCACTTGGCTATACTCAATATTTGAACACTTTAAAATTTTACTGAGATGCTGCTGATAGCAAAAGACTAGAAATTTATTATGAGACACATATAATATGTTGACGGTGCGACCGTTAGGGCGAGCGCAGATACCTTTTTCAGTTTTATTTTAGTTCGGGCTCTTCAAATCGCACGTGATATTTGGTACGCCTAGACTCTGACGTCACATGACGTCGTATGTAATATTGAATTATCGAAACAAAATCTGAACAGTGCTAATTTTACTAAAGAATATTAAAATTGAATTACATCTACTATTAATCTGCTATATATCGATTAAATCAAGGTGAGTTTATTTCTTTTTGGAACTTCTGGGTACCGCGAGAACATAGTTTGCGGCAAAATGCAATTCGCAAAGCATTATGGGACCATAGGTAACTGTGGAAAAAAAAATGTTTGGATCAATATGCAAAGTCCGAATTTTCTCTTCGCCCAGGCGTTGCTTTAAGAGGTCGCAGTGACGAGCTGCCCTTTGCGCCGCTCGCTGCTCTCGCTATAATGATTTTGTTCTATTGAAAAAAAAAAAAACACTTGTATCTTTATGAGTACAAAGTAGAGTTAATCATGAAATGCTTTATTTCTTGCAGCTGTAAAGAGGCTGATGAAAGAGGCCCAGGAGCTGAGTGAAGCAACAGAGCAATACTATGCACAGCCATTGGAGGTAAACATTGAGAAAATGTCACAGTGATGATTTTTTACAGTGTATGTATTAATTTTAGGGCAAAAGCTTTAAAAATGTTTGTCATGAGTAATCTGGTAGTTAATTTTAGTGCATATCCTTTTGTATTTTCCAAAATTGTCCAGAGCAGATATATTCCAGTTTGGTACATTGCAACTATATGGGACGTATTCTAGCTGTGACTGTGATGAGGGCTTGTCCCAATTAGATACTTAGATTATTCTAACTTATCAAGCGTGTAGCCAAAAAATAAGAAGTGGGAATTAGAGCCTTTCTGTATTTAACCATGACTGTTCCCCAAGTGTTCTAGCATGTGATTTGTTATTAGTATTCCAAGAAAATTTACACTCAATTCATTTGAATAAAAATGCAAAGCTCATAAAACGCGAGATACATGTAAGCTCCACAATTCATTTGTTTGTTTGTTTTTAAATTGTTATTGGTCTGGTGATTTCATTGCAGGATAATTTGTTTGAGTGGCACTTTACAATAAGAGGACCCTCGGACACAGATTTTGGTGGTGGTATTTATCATGGCAGAATAGTCCTCCCCCCAGATTACCCCATGAAGCCACCTAGTATCATACTACTAACAGTAAGTACTTGTGCCAAGTTACAATTTTTTCTGTGTCAGTGGCAGATTCCTTCAATTGTAAGCAATCGTTAAATAGTCCATCGACCAACCTTAGATCATCGCCTGACAATCAGCAGACAGTTTTTTAAGTCGGTTGACGGTCGGTCAACATTTAAGAATTGGGGTTTCGTAATCATCGGAGGACGGTGAAAAACAAACTGTGGCCCAGCGAACGATGATCAGATACGAGAAAAAATTGGTCGCCTGACCATTGGCTTAAATTTGACCAAGGCATAAAATACTTAAAGAATAGGTGGTTGGGACTTGCAAATCACTTGGACATATCCATGGTAATGGAGATTGTAGTGTCTGAGATACCAAAGTTCAACCCTAGGAAGAATGATCTTGATATGTCTTTCTATTACAGCCAAATGGGAGATTTGAGACCAACAAGAAAATTTGCCTCAGTATCTCAGGACATCACCCGGAGTCCTGGCAGCCATCTTGGTCAAGTGAGCTTTTATTTGTATAACTTTTTACTTGTTTGTTCTGAATGTAAATCAAGAGAAAAAAAAATCTGTAGGATGGTGGCTGCTGAAGATTTACAAGTTATTTCATATATAGAAGTAAGGCTCCTGAAGTACCATAATATTTTTCAGCTAAATGGTTTTCTTTTTTTTGACCTTTAGTTTATGAATATATATTATGCACTATATATCTACCTTAGTCTAAGAAATGAAAATATTTATTACTCTACACACTTGTTCTTGTCATTTCATCCTTTTTTCTTTCAAAATGTGTAGTTTTGTATATGAAAAATAATGAAGAGAAACTTGACACATTTAGTAATATTTATGAAACTTTTCCCATAAATTTTACTTATAGTTAGGACAGCCCTTTTGGCCATTATTGGGTTCATGCCTACACATGGTGCTGGAGCTATAGGATCGTTGGATTACTCAGCTGAGGAGAGGAAGAAACTCGCTAACAGGTAAATCTCAAAAAAGGATAAGTACAGTTTTAAAATTTAATTATCTCTGGATTTATATCCTTCCTGAGCACCTCAAAACAATAATGATTTCTTAAACTCAATATTTCTAATTCTATAGGAGCAAAGAATGGAAGTGTTCCACATGTGGAAACATTAATTGTATATTGAAACAAATGACTGAAGAAACGGAGGAATCTAAAAGGACATCACAAGAGGCCAAAGAACTGGCCAGTCAAATTAATTTCCAGGTATGTTAAAGAAACAGCCAATCAAATATATCTACAGGGTTTCAAGTCAATTTCCAGGTCAGTCAAACTGGCCATTGAAATCAAAGTGAAAGAAATGTCCTGGCAGTCTGCAGAGTAATGCAATACTATGACTCATTTTGTATTGAGTTAGAGTGCATTTTATCAAGAATGGTTGTTAAAGACTATTTTTTTATTACATGTTCCTTCCAAATTTAGAATACTGTATATACTCCCAAGGTTTTATACAACTGATTCAGAAATTTATAATGATCATACATGAAAAATATTTTTCTTCTTTAATTATTGGAAAATTAAAAAAAATAGTGAGTTTTTAATTTAAAATTTAAATAATTCAGATTTAAAATGATATTTTGACAACATTTTTTAGGCAGAGAAAAAACCTGGTGAGGGAAAAAGTGAAAGCAATGGTGAGACAACTACATCTCAGCCTAATGAACAGCAACAACCAATTCCTCAAATGCCAGCAAACGCTACAAACCCATTATTTAGCAGTGGATATCCATTTCCCTCTCCATTCATGTGCATGCCCAATATACCACCATTCCAGATGCCACAAGGAATGGATGGAAGTGTCAATGTCCCCCGATTTCCTTTGCCCCCTCCATTTATACCAGGAATGATCCCCCCAGGACAACAAAACAGTTCTCAAAATGTCTTTCTTCAGCAATGGCAGATGAATCCCTTTATGATGGGTAGACCCCCAGTCCCTCCTTCAATGGTCTTTCCTGGACAGATGTCTTCTTCTATACCAACACAACAAGCCATGAATCTCCCATCACAAGCAATCCCAAATGATATATGTGCAGGCCAGCCTCAAGCCCCACAGGGCAAACCTCAGGCAAATTCTCAGTCGGTGAAGTCTCAGATGCCAATAGCTGCCACTACAACTCAGACCTCATCTCAAAGTGCTGCAAATAAAAATTCATCATCATCCCCGGAAAACAAGGTTTCTAATGACAGAGATACTTCAGTTGAAGCCTCTTCTCAAGGATCAGAAAATTCTACACAGGAACCTCAAAGTTCTTCATCAGAGGCCAATTCCAATCCTGAGTCTACTCCTTTATTACCACAAGAGGCAAGCAGTGAAGCTCTGGGGACAACAGGTCAAAGGTCAGATGAGGGATTGAGACAGAGGCTGGTGGAGGATACTCCCAGACAAACAGTACCAGCAGGAAGAGTGGGGCAGAGTGCTGAGCTCACAGAACATCAGCACAGACAATCTGGATTAAGTATATCCACTGTGATAATATTCATAATTGGACTGGCCATTGCCATCTTGTTGATCAGACGATTCTTTTTATCTAGAAATTGGAGGTTTTACTACGGTGTATGATTATATATGTTTAAATGCTTTGTGTGATATAACTTATTCATAGGGAATGCTCTGTGTATGGTTGTCTTATTTGGTGATTTTATCTGCTGATGATGCATGTAACTTTAAATATTGCTAATCTTGAATATAATTTACGTTTACATGTACATGTATATTAATCTTTATTTGTGAGGAACAAATTTCTCGGTTATTTAAAAGAAGCGAATGAATTTAATGCAGATGCACATACATGTACCATTTTTATTCCAAGAATTTATTATCCATAGATTGAAGTTGTAGTGGTAAGTGTAATACAGCATGTGCTTTGAATATTTCTCATTGAATATAATTATGTATTTTGACCCATTTATGTACTGGTAAAGGTCAACCTTTGACATGCTTGCCAGGATGAAATAAACAGTTGTTGAATTGATATTTGTGTCCATTTGTTTTTACTTACCAGTACTGTTCTTATATACATGTACACAGTAACTTTGTCAACCAAGTAAAGAAAAGGAAAAAACAATTTTTGTACCCCCCTCCCTTGAAAAAGGTTTGCACCTGTTGGTCAGTTGGTTGGTAGAGGTGTTGTCTGATCAATATCTTGAGAACCCCTTGTTTGACCAACATACACTAGTTCCCCCTAAAAAGTAAAGGACCCTTATTGACTGGACACAAGGTCAAGATGAAACTGGATGTAGGAAGATATGACCACTCAATATCTGGAGAACCCTCTGCTTGATGGATATAAAAACTTGGTACACTGGTTCTCCCAAAGGAGTAAATGACACTATTGAATTTGAGATCACATGGTCAAAGTTTAAGAGTGAAAATGGACATGGGAAGGTATTGACTGTTCAAATATTTTGAAACAGACATTAAACTTAATAACAGAGTTCTCTCTAAAGAGTAGATGCTCCCTTTCTATCTTAAGGTCACAGAATAAACTTATCAAGACATAGGAATATATTGTTGCTCAATTTCTAGAGAACCCTTTGCTTGATTGAAAGTAAACTTGGTACATTAGTTTCCCTTAATTAGTAAGTGATCCCTATTTATTTTGAGGTCACAAGGTCAAACTGAACATAGGAGGATATTGACTACTCAGTGTTTTGAAAATCCTTAAATGATCTCAAGGTCAGATAGAAATCAAATTTTGAATAATATTCGGCCCCGACTGGTTTAAAAAAAATTTCTTTCACTATCATTAAGACATTCTAAAAAGTTGCTTGCTCTTAATATTTTGCTACATGTATTGGAAACCTTTGTCAAAAGAAATGGAATCTTGCTTCAACTTTTCTTTTACATTTCATTTACAGCAAAATTAATGAAGAAAAAGTAGAATTTAGATCTTAGTTATAAATGAGTAATTTTGTTAAACATTTGTCTTAAATTTCTAAGATAATGAGTCTTTAGTAGCACAACTCTTTTCATGTAATTTCTAAGATAGTTAGTCTTCAGTAGCACAACTCTTTTCTGGTTATCAAGTGTGGTTTATATATTGTGGCGGTCAGACATGTTTGATAGCCAGTGGCCAGATAGCTCTGTTGGTGGAGCACTTGAGTGATTCAGGTCCTGGTCTGATCTATCACATTTTTTTATTCTCTCCAGTTAGAATATTAACAGTAGTCATGAGCTCCTATTTAAACTGGACCAAAAGTCTGAGAAACAAACTTAATATTCTATCCTGAACCTTGAACAGCAACACCACCATGATTAATGGATTTACTTTCTGAAGCACAAGTTATTTACCATACAATTAAAAAATAAATCTCATATCCCTGAATGGTTACAAGACCTACGAAACAAATGGTATCTGCAAGGCACATACCACTCAACCCTCTTTTTTTTTTTTGGTCAGTTAGATGTAAAATATTGGATAATGGCTTTGACAGGGATTAAACAATTCTGCAGCACAGAGATAAATGAGTCATTTTATGTTTAATGCTTGTTAGCATTATTTTCCTGTTATCTTAATAGGGATCTTGAAATTGTAAAATGGCATTAATCCTGTATTGAATCTGAATTGAATGCAAATCACGCATATAACACTATTTTAAACGTTTTATTTTGCAAATATACATGGGTCCAAAATTGGAGGACAGGGTAGGAATTATTAATTGTCCATACTTTGTCTGTGGAAAGAAAGAAAAAATGTTTTTGAATATTGGCCTAATATAGCTCATGTCTATGACAACTGCATCAATGTCTGTTTCTTTCCACAAATACTCCATTGTAGCTTGTATAACCCCATCATTCTGAGCTGGGGAGAGGGTACATGTTGAATATACAACTGTTCCACCTGCCCTACAAGACTGGATTCCTGCTCTATAAAATGAAATTAAAAATAATTGTAAATTATGATTATTTTTATGATAAATTCATCACAAGGAATTCACTACCTACATGTAATAACTTTGAAAGTTGATTACGACTTGTCTCTCAAAATCTCAGACCTTAAATGTTTGAAACATATTAGTGAATGAAGCTATAAAATGCTTAACAAGAGGCCCATGGGCCACAACGTTCTTCTGAGTAACAATGGCCATTCTTGTTTTTTTATGAGCAGATTCTTTTTCCTGTATATTCCTATGTACTGTAGATCTTTGATCATCCATTGAAGACCCATTTTACCCCTGGTGGTAATGATTTGAACAAACCTGAACTACATTCCCTGAGGATGCTTCCATACATATATATATGCCTAATCATGGTTTTCCTGTGCTTGAAAAGAGGATTTTTAAAGAATTTTCTGTGTATTCCTATGTAAAACTTTTATCCCCAATGTTAACCCACCCTACCCATAATTTAAACAAATTTGAATTTACACTACCTGTGGATGAATCCATGTAAATACATGTATGAATTAATGAACATGGCTTTCCTCCTGTTCTTGAGAAAAAGATTTTCCAATGTTTTTGTATGTTTTCCTGTGTAAAACTACAATGTATAAGATTGCTCATTGTAGCCAACCCCCCCCCCCCCCCCCCCAACCCCCAGGGCTCATCATTCGAATGAACTTGAATATATGTGTATGAATTTATGTGTATGCTTCCATATAAATATGACTATCATGGTTTTGCTTTTCTTTAGAAGAAATATTTAAAGATTTTTCATATGCATTCCTATGTAAACTTTGATTGCCCATTGTAGCCCTACTGTACACACTGGGGTTACGATTTGAAGAAATTTGAATCTACACTAACTCAGGATGCTTCCAAGTAAATAAGACTGATCATGGCTTTGCTGTTCTTGAGAAGAGGATTTTTTTTAGGATTTACCCTATATAGCCATGTAAAACTCTGATCACTCAAAGTGGCCCACCTTACCCCTGGGGTCATGATTTGAACAAACTTGAATCTACACTATGTCAGAAAGCTTTCACATACCAGTAAGTTTCACCTTTTCTGGTCCTGGGGTTCTTGAGAAGATTTTCAAATGACCCCACCCAATTTTTACTCTTTCTTTATTATCTCTCCTTTGGAAGAGGATGTAGTCCTTCATTTGAACAAAATTGAATCCCCTCAGCCATGAAAACTCTGTGTCAAGTTTGGTTGAAACAGGCCAAAGAAGATAAAAATATAAAAAATTTACAATGCAGACGACAACAAGAACTCAACAACAATGAACGACAATGGACAAATTTTGATCAGAAAAGCTGACTTGAGCCTTCGGCTAAGGTGAGCTAAAAATATGGCTTAAACAAAATAAAAACATGTCTGAATATAGGAACTTACACCAGCAGTTCTTTTTGTTCTGTGGGTAGTGCCAATCTCTCCTCCATTCGACCTGGTTTGAACAAATTGTTATCTTCGCTGATTAAGACATGTCTGTCTGTATTACAGGGTACATCCACCAAAACCTGAAATGTCAGTCATTCAATTTAAGTCACTAATCAAGACATGTCTGTCTGTGTTACAGGGTACATCCACCAAAACCTGAAATGTCAGTCATTCAATTTAAGTCACTAATCAAGACATGTCTGTCTGTGTTACAGGGTACATCCACCAAAACCTGAAATGTCAGTCATTCAATTTAAGTCACTAATCAAGACATGTCTGTCTGTGTTACAGGGTACATCCACCAAAACCTGAAATGTCAGTCATACAATTTAAGTCACTAATCAAGACATGTCTGTCTGTGTTACAGGGTACATCCACCAAAACCTGAAATGTCAGTCATACAATTTAAGTCACTAATCAAGACATGTCTGTCTGTGTTACAGGGTACATCCACCAAAACCTGAAATGTCAGTCATACAATTCAAGTCACTAATCAAGACATGTCTGTCTGTGTTACAGGGTACATCCACCAAAACCTGAAATGTCAGTCATACAATTTAAGTCACTAATCAAGACATGTCTGTCTGTGTTACAGGGTACATCCACCAAAACCTGAAATGTCAGTCATACAATTTAAGTCACTAATCAAGACATGTCTGTCTGTGTTTCATGGTACATCCACCAGGACCTAAAATGTCAGTCATACAATTTTAGTCACTAATCAAGACACATCTGTCTGTGTTACAGGGTACATCCACCAAGACCTGAAATGTCAGTCATATAATAAAATACAACTCAGCATAGCAAAGAATAACAACGCATGTACAGTGGAAGCCTTGTTTACATTCTCAATGAAAATTTGTGAGGAACAATTTATCTTAAGATATTTATACCAAGTACAGTTGAACTTCGATATCTCGAACACTGATATCTCGAATACCATGGTTATGTCAAAGTGATTTGGAATTCCAAACCACTTATTCTTTAAATATTTTACCCCTGATATCTCAAATCCTTGGATATCTTGAAGTTTTTTCTCGGTCCGATCAAGGTCGAGATAATGAGGTTCGACTGTATGTTTTAGTAATCCAGAATTTTCCATTATTTCAGACAATATGCTTGGTAACACAAGCGTCCAAATTAATGGGGCTTGACTGTAATCAATATCTCACCAGTATTTTTTTTTTTAAATATAATTTGGAGTTAAATTTGGTACTACAGTGCTGCATAGATGGACTGCTATGATTACTTAGTAACACACCTTATCATATAGAGGGTCATTGAAGAATCTACCATCTTTCTTTGAAATTGTCACTGAGGGTGGGACATTACCCACATACCAATTCATTATGTCCCTAAGTCTGCCGAGTCTACTGTAGGATTCATCATTACACGTCAAATTCTCTGTAAAATATTCATATATGTATTGAAATACAAAGCAATAGGAAACTTTGCAGTTATGAAATAAAATATATATAATGCATAAACCTTAGGCCAAACAAAAAAATATGTGTGGTTCCGGTTACACTTCCAAAAAAATTAGGGTAGGTAGGTAGGGATTTTCTTTTTTTTTCTTTTTTTTTTAACAAAATGATTTTCTTAATTTTTTCTAAATAATACCTATCACTGCTTTGCAAATAGCATTTAGATGTGGTGTGATAATATACTAGTCAATATTGGTAGGGGACACCTATATGCTAGCTTGCTTTGGATTTATAACACTATTAAACACTTGCGCTATGTTTTGCAAGGAGGCCGTCATTGCTGAAACTAAAACTTAAACCGGAGCCATTGATGGAAATCGGGGGAAATTCCGGAAAAAATATGAAAATTGCCAAAAAAAAGTTTAGGGTCGGGGGTATAAAATAGGGAAGGTCGGGTAACCGGAACCACACATATTTTTTTATTTGGCCTTACTGTGATGAAGTCTGTCACATTGTGTATATTTTGATGAGAAAAATAATTGGCACAAATGTCTTTTTTCCTTCTTAGCTTAAGTTATGGTAATTCTTACAATAAAATAATTAAAAAAAACCAAATCTCATGGGGAAAAATTAAATAAGGTCAATAGTTAAGCAGTTTGGTAACCCTCATTCGAGCAAGCTACGGGTTCATCAGACACTTGTAACCGAGGAAAACAGACATAAAACAATTATAGGTTGTACAAAAGAAAGTAGAAAGTAGTCTGTATTTCATTTATCCTCTCCAACACAAAATATATTTTTTTAACTTGAATTGGCTTTTAGCTTTTAGTAGTGTGTTCACAAAAAATAATCTGTTAAAGTTTCATTTTCATGAATATTTAATAACCAATGACAAATAAGTGAAACTTACTGAACAAGCTTTTGTGTTCAATGAAACCTGTTTTAAATTCTATTCATTATTGAGGTTATTTTGGAAAAAATGTTCTGCTCATGTTTACTTATGTACCTGTCTGCAGAGTCTGTAGCATAGACAGAGATTTCCCCCCAGGAGCTGCACAAAGGTCAAGGACAGAGTCCTTCTCCTGAATGTCCAGTGCAATAACAGGAAGTAGAGATGCAGCATCCATTAAGTAGTATCCTACAAGTGTACATAACAAAAAACATAGGAATTTTATGAGAAATTTATGTTCTATACCTTGTACAGTAATAGTGCATTAAAAAATACCATTGTGTAAGTGTCTGCTTTATACTATACAAATGCTCACCTAACAGATTTCCACGCTTCATTTTAGGAGAAGGAAAGTTAGACACATTTCCTTTCTCAAACACAAAGAATTTCATTCGGTTTGGTAGATCTGGGGTTTGCTCTTGAATGACTTTTACAGGAACTTCAAACAAGTCTTCATCAAATGTGGACGAGTCTGCTATCTGTTTGTGTAATATCTCCTTTTCTGAATACACCCTCTTTGTAGGAATGAAGTCATATAAACTGGTGTTTTTCCCTACTACAGACTCAATTTCTTCATCTTCCTCTTCTGAATCTGATAGACTAATTTTACTGTCTTCTACTTCTCTTTTTGAAATTCTTTCAGGAAAATCTAAAAATGTCTCAAGTGGTAATGAACTGTTTTCAACAATTCCTTGCTGCATGTCTTTCTTTAAGAAATTCGAGTGAGCTACAGCTGCCTCCTCCATTGCGTCATATGCTCCTAAATCTTTGAGAACATTTTCTACTGAGTCCCTTTGACTGTTATAATTATTTAGTAATGCACAGTACTTTGATGATGTCAATAACGAAATCCTTATGGATGGCCACAATTCTTTGAAGACAGGTTTGTAGAATGTCTCCATGTGAATCAAAGCGTGTTCTGTATAAGCTTTACTTCCCTCATTTTTGGCCTGTAAAATTATAGTGAAACCTTACATACACATTAATGTGTGCGAGTGTATCTGCATTATTATGTATTATTATGTATTATGCATACATATCTGTTAGTCAGTCTGTATGGGTCTATGATAATTCATCAAAAGACAACTCATAGAAAATTCATTGATGCAACAACTCACAGAAAGGATAAGTCATAGTAAGGACAATTCATTGACATTTGTTGAAACTGAAAAAAAAAAAAACACAATAGTTCTTCAGTCCAAATTCTATTTCAATAACATATTGATTTCTCAAAGCAATAACTATGATTTTTCGCCAGTTGGCCAGACTTAAATGAAAACAGCAGCATTTGAATGTAACACCGAGAAAAGCCATTATATGCTAACTTGTTTTTATTCCTTTGTTATGGAATAAAGGTAAAATCAGTACCTCCCTCAGTCTTTACTTGAATGTGTATGAAAAATGTCAATGACAAAGTACAACAAAATCATCTGAAAAGTTATTTCAATTATATTGATGAGTTGTTGTCATCCACGAGTTGTCTTTTTTTGACTTGTCACGTCATTGAGTTTTCTTTCATCAGTTGACTTCTGATCAATTGTCCCATTAGATGAGTTGTCTTTCAATGATGTGTCTGGTACTGGTCTGTATGCATGCATGTTAATTTCTATACATGACAGGCACAAAATTGTTTTTTCCTGTTCTTCTCCAGAAACCTCAGGGTAGATTTCACAGGCACTTGTTTCTGTAATAAATTTTTGACCCATAGTATAATAATAACACAAGGTATCCAACTCCGAAAATACATGGAGTACCCCCCTCCCCCAGAATCGCACTAATTTACACTTTCAGAGGAAATACACTGGCAAACTGTTTATACCCATGTCTTCTACAATAATTTATCTACACACTATATATGGCATGCTTGTCTTTATTTCCTTTTATCTCCGTAAACAGCGTCAAAACGCTGCTCGCCAAGTGCAAAAGTCGAACTCAACCATGGAATGGTATGTGCTAATCCCGGGCAGAGATTTTGATTGGCTAAAAATCTGTTTCTAAAATTACATCGGAAAAATGTCGTAGTTTTTTTATGGAAAATGAGAGGTAAACAAATTTTATTTATTCACTGCAATATTTAAACTTTGGAATGAATTTTTAAACCCACTCATTTTTTAATTTTGCTCTCTGCCCGGGATTAGCACATACTGTTTCATGGTTGAATTCGACTTTTTCACTCGGCGAGCAGAGTTTTGACGCTGTTTACGGGGATAAAAGAAAATAAAGACACGTACGCCATATATGGTTGTGTTGATAAATTATCGAAGAAGACATAGGTATAAACAGTTGCCAGTGCATGTCCTCTGAAATTGTAAATGAGTGCGATTCTGAGGGAGGGGGGTACTCCATTTGATACAGAGTTGGATACCTTGTGTTATTATTATACTATGGGTCAAAAATTTATTACAGAAACAAGTGCCTGTGGTAGAATTACAAAACTTGCCACAAAAGTATCCTTGGAGGAAGGGGATTCAATTTTCTTTAAATGCATGCATATGATCATCATCATTATGCCCCTTTCTGAGAATTAACTAATAATCCTCATATAGCACCATGTATATTCAAATGTCATGAATGTGTTATACTTATCACCCCGCTAGGGGGGAGAATGTGGTCAAAGTTATAATTAAAATACATACAGTTAAACCCCGTTATCTTGAACTTAATGGAACTGAAAAAAAAAACTTTGAGATGTCTGAGGATTCTAGATTCCCAGGGTAAAATACTTAAAGAATAAGGGGTTGGAACCTCCAAATCACTTCAACAAATCCATGGTATTCGAGGTATCAGTGTTTGAGATACCGAAGTTCAACTGTTATGGAAAACCTTAATTACATTAAAAACACTTAAAACTTTTTTCTAATCTTAAAAGACAGCTATAGAGTGTGAAAATGAGCATTTAATCCACAGTCTCTGGTTTTATCCTAAACTATAACCATAACTGTAAGTTGATGTATCCTGTCTAAAGTCTTAAAATTTCCAGTAATAAATGAGTGGTTTACAATAAAGAGGCTTGACTACGGACGTCTGGAACGATATATATGAAAGCTACCTTGAGGTAAAAATAAGTAGAGGATGCCCTATACAAGTGGTTCAAGACCTGTTATCAGGTTATAAGACAAAAATGATTACCCATTTTTTCTTGTACCCTCGTCTTTGAACGAATATTATTCCATTACAAGAGTGTACTAAGGATAGGCCGTTATCTTTGAAACGTGCTATCGTTCCTTGTTGAAGAGTTTTCAGTAAAATAGCTCTCTGCATTTTTTCCGCACAGAAAATATGTCGGAAATGCCTAATGCTACATAATTGTAGAATGTCAATCGTCAATGTAAGACTTCTTTCTCCGGAATAACATAACTCAGTGTATGTGCAGCTTTTTTTTTGGGGGGGGGGGGGGGGGGATTATTAATGATTATTTGTTTTATTTTTAATTTTTTACCAAGAAATATTTGGGATTTGTTTCCTGTCGATAAAATAGGTTTGTTCAATAATTGATTTTTATGCCCTTTGTTTTCTTTTCTCTGTTTTTGTTTTTTGTTTTGTTTTGTTTATTTGTTTGTTTTTTGTTTAGTTTTGTTTGTTTGTTTGTTTGTTTGTTGCAAAGAAGCATATATATAGCATTCTCCAAGGCTTTAACCATCCTCACAATGTCAAGGTTTTGTGATTTCGGAAATCCACACAAACAGGGTTTGTGTGGAGTTCCAAAATCACAAAACCTTGACATTGTGAGGATTGGCTTTTTAATCCAAGAACTTCTCTCTTCACCCCCCCCCCCCCCCGATTTGACATACAGTTTGTAATGAAGGCATCTTTTCTAAGAATTTAATGGCTCTAAAAAGAGCCGTTTGGTTCATATATTTTCTCAGCGATGCATCTTCTTCCATCTTCCGGCCTGGGTTTTGGGCATTCGGAATCTGATCTGTGGGGTTCAGGAATGGTATCAATCAAACTTTGAAAAAGTTTTCAGTTTCCTGATTAGCGATCAATTTTCGCCATGCATTTGGTTCAGGAGATTTTCAGCTTCTTTCTTTTTAACCATGTAGTACTCCTTGTAACGCACCAGCAAGTCTTCAGTCTCTCTTAGCTGTGCTGCCATGGAGTGGTTTTTTCTTGCCGTTGGATCAGCTGCAACTTTGGCAGTTTTCAGAATATTCAGACGTCCTTTTAAGAGCATTATATGCTCCAGAGCCCGTTCAGCTTTACTTTCTGCGACCAGGAATTGGCTAGTTAAATTCTGCATGTTTCAAAGTAGTTGATTCATGAAGAGTGCTAGGAATGTGTCCTGGAAACCTTTTATATACACACTACAATACTTCACCTTGGCTTGGACAGTTCAAAGTGATCATGACATAATTAACTAGTCGCTGACTGGTTAATTACTTTCTGAACGTCATTACAATGATGGTTTAAAGAAGAGATAATTTTCAGGACATAAATACATCACTGTCAATAGACCGTTAATCTGAACAATGTGACATGATCTGTATTCTTCAGCGATAATTGACGGAGCTGTTATCATCACAAATAAACTTCATGACACATCGAGAAATTCGCTCGTTCTGATTTCTTTGGGATAAAAAATACTGTCAGTTTTTTTTATATATTTATCAAAAATAAATGTTATTTAGACAATTAAAATAACAACATTTTAAAGATCTTGTATGCATTTTTGAAAAGAGGAAAACACAATAATTTTCTAAATTTGATGTACACGATTGTACATTTTTCAAAAAAAAAAAAAAAAAAAAAAAAAAAAAAAGAAAGAAAGAAAGAAAATAAAAAAAATAAAATAAAATAAAATTACAATTTTATATAAGAAAAGGCAATATATATATATATATATATATATATATATATATATATATATATATATATATATATATATATATATATATATATATATATATATATATATATATATATATATTTAAGAAATAAACAACAATGTTAAAAAGTTCTCTGGGAAATGAACTTGGTTGGTCACGTGATCAAATCCTGTGAAGCCCGAAGGGCTTCTCAGAAGATTTGATCACGTACCAACCAAGTTCATTTCCCAGTGAACTTTTTAACATTGTTGTTTATTACTTTTATTTACATTTGAGACGAATATTCTGAATAGGACTGCATTTATTACACGAACGGCCCGCCGTATTGCTATGTTGTGACGCGCAATGACCTAGAAGTTGTTTGGTCTTGAGAGTTCGCCTCGCTCCAACATTTGAATACTTACATTGATGTTTAGCAGTCCAGTTCAGGAAATATCTGTTCATAATGAAAAAACAATGATCGCTACTGGGAATTATCTTACTATTATTGTACGAGTTCTTTATATATAAAGTCAAAAGCGGTGCTATCGTCTTCAGTTTACATACCTTCAAAGGAATTTCGGGTTAAAGAGGTAAGCGTGATTTTAGGCTAATTAGAAACATTCTTCACACCGAAGAAAGATCTAACGATCATTTGTTGAACGAAAAAAAAAATATATGTGTCAATAATTTTATCTTTTTCATCGCTTTGACGGTTCAGAAGTTCCGAAACCAGTGTCACTGTGACAGAAATATGTAGACAAGATATCGTCTCGCTGTGTGATTCGGTCACGCCATGACCTCTGACCCCCTAATAAGTTCATACAGAATTGAACATATTTTCTCTTCTATAGGTTCATCTAAGAAAAATATTTAAGAAATAAACAACAATGTTAAAAAGTTCTCTGGGAAATGAACTTGGTTGGTCACGTGATCAAATCCTGTGAAGCCCGAAGGGCTTCTCAGAAGATTTGATCACGTACCAACCAAGTTCATTTCCCAGTGAACTTTTTAACATTGTTGTTTATTACTTTTATTTACATTTGAGACGAATATTCTGAGTAGAACTGCATTTATTACACAAACGGCCCGCCGTATTGCTATGTTGTGACGCGCAATGACCTAGAAGCTGTTTGTTCTTGAGAGTTCGCCTCGCTCCAACATTTGAATACAGCAGTCCAGTTCAGGAAATATCTGTTCATAATGAAAAAAAAAACCATGATCGCTACTGAGAATAATCTTACTATTATTGTATGAGTTCTCAATATATGAAGTCAAAAGCGGTGGTATCGTCTTCAGTTTAGGCCTACATACCTTCAAAGGAATTTCGGGTTAAAAAGGTAAGCGTGATTTTAGGCTAATTAAAAACATTCTTCACACCGAAGAAAGAACTAATGATCATTTGTTGAACGGAAAAAAAAGACCATATATGTTTCAATAATTTTATCTTTTTCGTCGCTTTAACGGCTTAGAAGTTCCGAAACCAGTGTCACCGTGACAGAAATATGTAGACAAGATATCATCTCGCTGTGTGATTCGGTCACGCCATGACCTCTGACCCCCTAATAAGTTCATACAGAATTGAACATATTTTCTCTTCAATAGGTTCATCTAAGAAAAATATTTGCAAATGTAAATAAATATATATATATATATATATATATATATATATATATATATATATATATATATATATATATATATATATATATATATATAAATGTGTGTATAAAAGTTGGTCATAAAATTCTGTTATCTCCTGTTCAAGATGGACGAAGGATCTAGCTGTAGAGGAGATAAATGTTAAAACAATTTATCTTCTACATGTATTTATCTATTTTCGGGGCCGGGGAATGGGGGGGGGGGGGGGACTTGTCGCCTATATGTATATTATTATATAATACAATATGTATATTGTTATTGTATAGTGGGACATAAAAGCTTTTTTATTTAAAATCAGATAAATACCCCTTTTCTTTAAAAGTTTTCAGGTCTTTATGTTGTAAACATTATTGACAAATATCTTTCAATGATCGCTTTTTACCCACTTACTTTCTGATTATCTGAAAACAGCTCACTACATTTATTTAAACAATATTTTATTCACAGATGTAAGAGTGAATAGGATTGGGCAGCAGGCTCAGCCTATTTTAGCCCTCTCCCTACATCAAGCTCACTACATATTGTAAATCATGTGGCATAGGTTATCCATTCTTTATTTATTTATTTACTACAACAACATTATTATTCTGTATTATTTTATTTATCTACAATATAATTATTTTTATTTCTTAATGATTTTATTTGATAATGGTTAACATTCCTAAGCTTATCATCCAAAACATTAATTCCAATTGGTCTAGATAAGACATTGTAACACTGTTGGAACAGAAACACCGACATGTCCCTCTACATCTTGGACCACATTTTAAAAGTTTATCTTTATGAAAAAATATTTTCTACTCTATGTTTTAAAACAATAGTACACAGGATGTTACAAAAACAGAACAAGAGTATAGCACTTGTCGAAGCCTTTCTTTGTGGTATCTATTACATACAAGTGTACTCAAAAACCCTGAACTTGAACCTGACAAAATATAATTTAATGAGTGTTAAGAAATGTAATACCCTGGTATTTCATTATTTGAATCAATAGCAAATGCAATCAAGAAAAAGAAGAATTATTGTTATCTGTGTTGATCTAGGAAATTGATGGTGAAATGTGGAGTCAGGTCAATTTACCAGTCTATTAGAATATTTTGGGATTTAGAAGATTTTGAAACTCGAGTCCTAGTACGGAAACACGTTGTCAATAAAATATGCTTAGAACAAACAAAATGGTTTAATTACTCCTTTATCAAACATTTGAATTATTTGAATTATACTCAACACGTTATACATTCCATGTTTAATACATCTATCAAAACAAAGAACGTTCATCTTCTTTGTTTTTCGGTCTTGTCTGTGTACATCGTCGAATATACTATTCAGTTCATGATCAATTTTGTATCATTCATACATTCATACAAAGAAGTAATTTTAAAAACTCAAATCTTTACACGAATTGTGATGATAAAAAGCAATAATCATGCCAGAAATCCAATGATACAATACAGAGCAGAGCAATCACAGACCCCTGAAAGCATAAGACAGAAGTAGGATCAGGTGCCTCGGAGGAGTGTGCATCCCCTGTCGACAGGTCACATCCACCGTGTGCCCTTTGTCATGATCGGGTACGGAAAAATTCGTAGTAAATTCAGTATGAAAATAAAGGTTTAACAATTCATAGCTTTACATGAGAGATGTCGGTCAACATTCGACCTAACGACAGATTTTATTTGCAAACAGGTCATGAACCATAAGATTTGCGAAATGTTAACTTTAAACGAGATTGAAGATAGATTAGAAATTGTTCGTACGAAGA